ATTACTATTATATATTAATTTCATCTTTTTTTGTTAGTTTGCTTTTTATCACAAAGTAAATCAGCTAGGTGAAGTAAACTCTAGCATTACCATTTTTCATTCATTTTCTTCCTGGCATATTGTTTGTTTACTTTCAGTTGGTAAAATATGTAACAGTCTTAAATTGTTTTAATTTTTCATCCTTGCTTCTTAACAATTGTAGAATGTAAAACAATTTGAGTGTTTAAAAAAAATGCATCAATAACATGAAACATAAACTAGTGAAAAATTAATGATGGTAAATGCTTTGTCTAAGAAATTCAAATGTTAATACTACTACTACATCATTATCATAAAAAACAATGGAGAAATGGAAGAGAAAAAGTGTAGCTCTGAACGAGATTCAAATTCACTTAATTTATTGTACTCTGTAGCTAAATTGGTGAAGACAGCATCCATACCAGATATATTCCCAATAATATGGAATGTAGGTTCAAATCTCATGTAGGCTAGTTTTATTTCCAATCCTTCCTGCTTAACAATTGTAGAATGTAAAACAAGCTGAGTATTGAAATAAAAATGCAACAATAATATGATGAAAGATAAACTAGCCAAAAATTAATAATAAAAATGATTAATCTTAGGAATTCAGAAAACTTAATTCTTACGCAAATGTGGCTTCATCTCTGTTTCAATGTATTTTTTAAAATAAAAAGTAAATTTTGCCTGGAATATCCTGAGAAAGTTAAAAAAAAAAAAAAAAGCTAAGAATTGTCTGTTTAATTTTACTTGACTATTTTTTTGTTTTCAAAGAAAAGCTTTTATTTTATTTATTTTTTTTTTTTAGGTTACGCGCACAAGAAGAACTCCGTTCCCAAATGACAGAAGAAGACCGTTTAGAACAGCCTGCTCTTCCTGTCTTTAGACCTATGTGGAATGCAGTTGTAACTTACAGACAAGAAAATACCACCAGAGAAGTAGATAGAAGATCTTGGATAACTATTGATTCTCAACCAGTGCGGTATAAATTGGACCCTACAGGACTTCCACAGTATGTTACAGTTAAAATCTTTATTCTTAAAACAGTGATACTTATTTTCTTAACTCTTTTTTTAAATTTTTCCTCTCCCTATGCTTAATCAGCCATAGTTTTCATAGTTTTGTTTAACATTGAAAGTTACTACAAAACCAAAACATTAATCTAAAAACTTTAGTCCTGTTCTTAAATAGCCTTGTTAAATCAAGACTTTCATATGGATGTTGTACATGCCACCAAACCTGTTCAGAAATATATAAACTTTGTTGTATAAAACCATTTTCTCAGATCAATGGTTAAAAATGGCTTTGAGTGAGTGAACCCTGTAGATCTTATAGAGCTCAGCTTCTTCTAAAATTGTGAACTGGAGCTACAGAATCACAAAGAACTGTGCCAACTAACAGAAAACGCATTACTTGAGGACTTTCAACAATAGCAACAACTAAAATGGATGGCACATGTAACTTGAAGAGAAAATAATGACATAATCAAGATGTTCATGTTCCACACAACTCAAAATAAAAGGTTAGGAAGAAAGCCTCCATCAATACTGGAAAGTGTTGTGGGATATGGGTTCATATCTGAATGTTGCTCATGTGGATATGTGGTAGGATAATTATTTTATTGGAAACTTTTGGAATAAAACGAACTGACTCAAAGGTTTAAAATAAATAGTATATTTTTATTTATTTTCTTTAGAGTGACAAGTGAGCCCTTTGGTATTTGGCATAGAAAAATTTCTTTAATAAGGTGGATATTGATTGCAGTCTGGAGAAACTTCCGTTTGTGGTCATTTTGAAGTCAGATAGGGGTAGTAGTAACGTCAGTGTCAATCTACTGCATTTGTTTTTTTACTGTGAAATAGGGTGCAAATGTCAATAGCCAATGACCTTTTTCTTCATGTGTCATGCATGGCTGCATTCTTTAGTTCTGCCCTCTCCTAGTATCATTCTTCTCTGTGTTCCATCTCTGCTCTTCTACCAGCAGCATCAGGTTTTTATCTTTTTGACCAAGCTTGAGAATTTGGAACAAACATCAAAATGTCTCTGTCAATTTTTTTGATTGGCCAAATTATTTTATTTTCTGGCATTCCTTTTTTTTTCCTTTTTTTATAATGGAAGTTATGTGTGGAGCCTCCCAGATTTTTGGTATTTTTAGTCACAAATAAGTAAGCTCTGCTCCTGCAAACTTACAGTCTTTTTGGCTGGGTTCAGTCTTTTATTCTTCCTCTTTTTATTTGAGGGTTACCTTCTCATAGGTCGAGAGAATATAAAAAAAAGTTTAGAGAAAGAGATGAGGGTTTTAAAGGAAATTGCAAGTGCCTTATTTTAATTCTTTTTTTGTTCACATGTTTTATTTTTACAGAGTAATAACAATAACTGGACTTGAGAAAAACTATTTTCTTGAAAAATTCTTTTAAAAGATTTTATAAATTCCAACTGATAGTAGCACTGGCTGCTTGGAAAGTGGCTAATATCATTACCATATTATAAAATCACTAAATTAGTTCACTCAGATATCAGAATCCTAAAACAAGATTAAATTTACTTGTTAACTCTGATTAAACAAATTAAGGGCTTTCATGTTCCAAAATTACTTGTGATCATTGATTTTAAAGCTGGTTAATGTCATGGACTTGAATAGTAACATTATAAATAGTCTCATTCAAAGAAATGTTAATGCCATAATGATTAAGAACCTCATTAGAATTGCTTGCTGCATTAAGTTTGTATTTGGAAAGGATGAAGCCAGTAAGTAAAGATTTTTATTACACAAGATTCAGTTGATCTTAGAACTTTATTGCTGTTTTTTTTTATCATTTCACCCCAAGCAAGGCAATAAAGCCACTAAGACACAACAGGGTTACTGACTGTGAAAGAAGAAGAAAAACATTTAGGTGTGAAAACAATAAAAGTAGAGGAATCAAGATGACAGTAGATAATGATTGACATTGCATTTAAATTTTTGAAGATCAAAGTTGACTAGAAAGCAAGAAGCTAAAAGAGAGTTCAACAGACAAGAAGTGTGAGAAAAGAAACGAACTTATGGTTATATCTAGCAAATTCAACTGTATAATGATGAGACCTTATTGTCAATCTAGTCAGTCAGTTATGTACCATGCATGATACATGCTTAGGCGACCATGTATCTTTCGATAATGAGTGATGAGGCAGATTTTTTCCTGCAGTAGTTTGCCATTTTTTTCTGTGGTAGACCAGTTGCCATCCAAGGCTATAGAACCCAGATTGTCCTGCTATTTACCCATAGATAGCAGGAGAAGAAGAGGATTCATACCTTTCCCCAAGGGTATTAGCATGTAAGTGAATGTAATGGATCTGATTGGAATTCGAACTTGGCTCTCCGATTTCTCAATATGAGCTGCTATCCATTACTCCATATTGTGCTTAAATTCATAGTGTCTAGGTACCATGGAGCAAAGTTCATCAGAACAATTACCATGTAAATATTTATAGAAAAGACACAGGGAAGCCATATTATAGCAGTAGGAAAGCAACTGAAGCCAGGACCAATAACATTACAGATTCTTCTTTGGATGTTCTCAAGAATCTGTAAATATATAGCAGGTGCACCAACAGACCATATGTGGTAGCAATGTTCAAAATATGGATGAATGGTAGACTTGTAAATACCTAAGAGAATTTAAAAAAAAAAAAAAGGTGTGGGGGCATGAAGTCCATAGCCTAACATAATTATTGACTGACATTTGAAATGTATGATGTCTGATGTACAAGATCATTGAAAAAGGATGAGATTATTTTGAAAAATATTTTTTTTAATAAAATAAATTGTTTTTGCATAATTATTGATGTATATGTATATATATTTCATGTGTGAGAAGTTGAATAAATTTGTTATTGTACCAACACTATATTTCAATTTTTTTTTTTTTGTGTGTGTTTAACAATTACGCCTTTCCATAATTTGGAGAGTACTGTATTAAAATGTATTAAACTTTTTCAAAGTAATCCTAAGAAAAAGCAAAATCTGATGTCGAAAAAGGAAATGCATGGAGTACTAAACTTTCTTTTTGCTGATAGCCATTTTATCCTCTTGGTGAATTTCTCTTTCAGAAACCCAATGGGTCGCACAGGTATCCGAGGAAAAGGATCACTGTGGCGATGGGGTCCAAATCATGTGATGCGTTCTGTGGTGACTCGATGGCGAAGGAAATACACAGGAGATTTTCAACCTATGAATTACTTATATGTTGATGGCAAAAGAGTCCTGGAATTTATTGCTGTTCGCAAAGAGAATGCTGATGAATATCTCTTCTGTTTGCCAGGGGTAAGTCTTAGGATGTGAAGAAAAGAAAATAAATTAATGGATGAGGAATAGCAAATCCTGCTGCTTTTCATTGGAGATATGTGTGTGTGTTATTAAAAATGACAATGATATCATAACATTAACTGCTATGCTGTGGAGGGCTATGATCATGACTGGATGATAAAATATTGCATAGAGGCTTTCATTTACATAGCTGCAGTGTAATAGTTAAGTATGTTTACTACTCCATGTTTGTATTATTATTTTTAAAAATAAAGAAAAAAAACTATTAAATCTTAGAAAGTTAATCATCTCTCATTATATATATACTGTTATTTTTGGCATAGCATTCCAATTCTTAAAAGTTAAAAAATATGAGTGGGTTCTGGAAAGATCTTGGTTCAACCCATTTTATCAAACCTGACCAGTGAACAGAATTTTTTTCTTTTCTTTTGTACTTTTCCTTTTTCCTCTTTTTCCTCTTTTGTTTTTTTCCTTTTTCCTCTTTTTCCTTTTTTTCCTCTTTTTCTCTTTTACTTTCCTTTTCTTTTTTCCTCACTTTTACCTCTTCCTTCTCTTCTATATTGAGTTGAGAGCTTTTTAGCAATCCACCTTGTACAAATATAGATAATTTTATATTTGTACTTAAAGCATCTTAATTTATTCCTGCTTGGACAATCTCCCATTATGTAGGTTAAAACAGCTTTTAGATAAATCTGTTGGCATATATAATCATTTCTCTTTCAATGAACTACTACTTTAGTGCAATGGTAGTTTTTTGAAGAAAAATGTTCTTTTAGTTTTTAAACTTTGAAAGAACTAGTATTCATTGCTTTTTAATTAAATAATTAAAAAAAAAGTGACTTTATCAGTAAAATAAATAACCCGTCAACTGTGACATGAATCCTTTAACAAACTATATATATATTTTTTTTTAGTGGATGTGAAAAAGGGAAATGTATCTATAAGTTCTGATTTTTTTTTTTTTATAATATTCACTCAATACAAAACCCAAGAGTCACTCAAAGTAGAAGGTTAATGTGTGGCGTTATATTAGTGTAGGAAAGGACAAGTGTTCTTGGCAACAACATCTATTGTAAACAGACAACCTGACGTTTGACCTAGCTCTCCACTGACCAGCTGATGATTAACCCACATTGTATTTTGATTTTCGATCTTGTGCACCTAAACCTGGGAAAAAGACCCTCTGCTGTTCACAAGGTTACATGATGAAAGATGAACAACACTTTGAGAAATAAGAATGCAAACCTTGTTTATCATATATGTAAATTTTTTATTCAGGGTTTTGCCTGCTCATTTAGGTGGGTAGGAAGGTGATACTTGGGATGACTTCTGTTGTGTTGATCTAACAGCTGAGCTCTTCCTCCTACCAACTCCTCACCAATCTACATATCCTGGCATGGTGACTGACAATACAAAATAGCTGACACAGGAAGTTTTTTCTAGCCAAGGGCAGACCAGAAATCTCCCTGATCCCAAGCAAGACTGTTAATATATACCAGCACCCGGATATACCATATTTCCAGTTTTGTTTCTACTTGATCACCAAAAGCCCCCATCCACTCCTTTACTTCTCATTCCCATTTGGTCAAAGTGGATGCTGCTTAGAAGACAGAACTTCAAAGAAACCATTTGCTGGTCCATCAAATAAACACTTCAGACCAAGATAATACTACCTCTTCCCTTTCCATGTCTATAGTATCACACTGTTTATTGTGCTTGTTTTTTCTTTTCAGGATGCTTTACATGGACTAACCACACCATACAGTACACTGTGTGAGGCATTTATGAAATCTGTATTTGATGAACAAGATGTAGATTCCAAAACTGAGCTCGATCAAACGGATATGATTCAGGTAATTACTATTGAACTTTATAGATCACTATTATAAGTTAGGACAATTTTATTATTTTAAATTCATTAAAAAATACCTTACTATTTTGAAACATACATTTTCATATATATATATATATATATATATATATGTGTGTGTGTGTGTGTGTGTGTGTGTTAGTGAGAAATCCTGTGTAGTTTCAAATTAAGTCCAAAATCAGTTAATAACTCAAATTTTTGTGACAAACTTTCACATTTGTATTTGTAGAATTTTCTTTTTCTTTCTTTGGCTTTTTGATTTTTTCCTTCAATCAGTTCCTAAGAATGGCCAGTATTTATTGCCTGTGAAAGCCAAAATACTTCTCTTTAGTTTAACTTTGTTTAAACTATTCTGGTCCTTAAACCAGATTCTAACTTATAGTGTTAAATCAGCTCCAAAGTAAATCAAAATTTTGTTCTGTTGAAAGTGCAACTTCCTATCCCTATGAGTTAAAAAAATCACATTAAACCACGCCCGTTTGCATACTTTGATGGTCCCAAAACCCGGCAAAATAAAGTTTTCAAACAGGTGCAAACTTGAGCCTCATTTCTTACAAATTTTACACATCAAAATTTATTCAAGCAATTATTTCAAACCATTTGGCTTTTATTTTATAATTATTTTTTAAACACTCCCCCTCAAAAGAAAGTACAATAAACAAATCTAATCTATGGTATTATATTTTTTTTTAATATTTACTTTTGAATTAATTTTTTTATATAATTGTTCATTTTTGTATTATTTTTATATAATTTTACATTTTTTTATCATATAAATTTTATAGATTATAGGTTGATATATTGATCAATTGTATATGCTTGTAGTTTTCATTATAATAAAACATTCAACTATCTTTGGTTAAGTTTTATACTTGGATGTGAAATTATTGCTTCGATTTAATTACTCAATTTCTTTTAAGTTCAGGTCATTTCTTGGCTGCTTTGTGTAAGTGTATCCGTGAATACTTGAATAACCACTTTGAGGAGTTAATATTTGTGTTTTATGTGTCTTTGAGTAGTTTGTGAGTGATGTTTGTATTAATGAGAGTAATGGAGAACTTGAAATGACATTTCTTGTACAGGGGGATATCTTGTAAAAACTCTGACTTTTTGTGCTATAACTGATTAAATAAGTATTAAAAATGCATGTTATTTAGAGATAAAATATTCACTAAAAAAGTGAGGTTTTCAAAAAGGTTTCAATAAACAGCTGTATTTTGATATCATTGATTAAAAATGTCTTGAGTGAGTGAAGCCTGGTGGTCTTGGCAAAGACCATACTTTTTTGAATATTATGAACTGGTGCTACAGAATCATAAGTAAAGGACTGTATCAATAAGAGAAACTATCAACAGCAACAACAACTAAAATGGACAGCACATATAACTCAGAGAAAATGATTGCATAATCAAGATGTTGACATTCCACACGACTTCAAATAAAAGGTTAGGAAGGAAACCCTCATCAATACTGAAAAGAGCAATCTTGGCTACTGGACTTGAGAAATCTATTTTCCTGAAAAATTGTTTTAAGGAAAAGATTTTTATAGATTTCAACCAAAAACAGTACTGGCTGCTCATTTAATGAAAGCCAAATGTTTTCCTTGTAGGGAAAAGCTAATATTACCATTACCAACATCTCTAGTCTAAAAAGAATTGGAATTTGGTGCCAATTTTAGGACAATGTGAAGAGATGTCATTTTAATCTTCATCATTTGACATATCATGGGGAAAAGATGTTTATTACATTTGAGACACTCACTAAGTTTAACTTTGACAAACTAATGTCAGACTTCATTAAGTGATATAGCTTACTGCATTGTTAAAACTCTGTAGAGGCATCGATATTGAAAGTTTAGTGGCATAAATTTCATCATTACTTTTTCTTATGTTTTAAAAGATAACAATGTCAGTCTTGACTAATTCTACTTTCAGACTCTGCTTCATTTTAAATTTGTGCTCTTTAGAAGCAGGAATGATCAACTTCCTTTTGATTTCAATAGAAATTCTTTTTATTCTACATGTACAGTGTAACCTGGATATAAGAGAGTTGTCGGGACCGGAGAAGAAGTCTCTTATATCCGGGTTTCTCTTATATCTGGGTTTGGTCTATTTTATATACATTAACACAGGCTCTAATTTGGGACCAGAGAAAATCTCTCTTATATCCGGGTTACACTGTACTCCTGTATAATTTTACATTTTATTATTCAATTTGTACTGATTTACAGATTATTTATATTTAAGATGAAGTTCTAGTGATACTGTATTAATCCAGTGAAAATCAGTTTTGTTTTATTCTTGCTCTGGCAGTCAAATTCTATATGCAAGAATTAAAATCTCTTCCAACAAATGACAGCACAAACTATGGCTTTGACAAACATTCAAGAGTTAGTATTGTTTAAAATTGTAAAGAGTTATCATTTAAGAGTTGTTCAGGCAGTTGAACTCTTTTCTTCTTTTTTTTTATGTTACCACAAAGAATGAGTTCAGTTGCCCAGACTAAACTTGGAATTCTAGGATTAATTTGGGAGGTAAATGAGTGAAAAAGTGTTAGTTTGCCTAAAAATCTTTTAGAGAGAATAAAAAAACAAAACAAAATACCCCATTTTTAATTAACAATTACAGGAATTACTATAATTAGCAAAAATTAAAAAAAATTAATTTGTGAAAATGTTTTAAGAGATTAAAAAAATGATTGAAAAAAAGATGTAAAACTTAAATTCATTGATTTATAAAAAAAATCCAAAAAAATCAATGACACTTAGGCTGAAAATTTATTTTAAAACGTATATTAAAATATATTAAACAAGTTTTATGAAGTCTGAATTTCTTAATGAAATATTTTTCAATATTTATTTTTGATTTGTTTTTTTTTTTTCATCTTGTTTTATTGATTATTTTTTGTTGTTACAATCAAGGTTGTTAAAAATCCAACAATTGTTAACCCATGTAGATTGGAAAATAAAAATCAGATGAATAATATCAGTATGACATTGATTTACACCTAACAAATCTTGAGGCCAAATCAGTAAGTTGTCATATATGTTGGTCAGTCCCTTAAAAGTTTGGGATTGAGTTCAAAAACTTGTTGATGGCAACTTTATTTACTGATTCATGCTACTTACTTACTAATATTTAAAGAATTTAAATTGACCATATTGTATGTGTGTTAACCTGATAGGCTCCCCTGTGGATTATAAGGCCACAACCTCCTCATTGTAGGAAATTGATCTTAGTGTAATAATAAAAAATACAAAAATATAATGAAAGATAAACTAGTCAAAAAAAATAATGTTTAAATGAATGTTTGGCCTTTGTTTTTGTATAATCATATGCTTTTTTTTTTCACTTATTTTCATTCAATATGTCCTTGAATTTTAAGCTTTAATACTAATATTTTCTTTTTTCTTTCTATCCCCCAGTTCTTTGCCCAATTTGCTGCATCTGCACCTTGCCCACGCAGTTCTGCCTCATTGTCTAGTCCCTCACGTTCCACCAGTCAATCAATGCTACCCATGCTCTCTGGTTCTCGGACAAGTCTTCGTACTGAACAGGATAACCAAGGATTTAGTGCATGTTTATTATACAAAGGTTATGTTGATGACCCCAGAAACACAGACAATGCTTGGGTTGAAGCAGAAGTCTGGAACTTTCACTATGATTTTGCAGACACTTTTGATACACGTATTTTGGAGGTAGGTTTTTAAAATTTTTCTTTTAATTGTCAATATTAGAAGCTGTGGAAGACTAACAAAACTTGCAAGCAGTTGAGTTTGATCCCATTTGGCAGGGGGCTCCTTACATGACCTTGTGCTAGATTTGGTTAAATGCAAATAAACTAAAATGGCTACAAGGTGGTTAAATGCATCAGAGTATGGACATGACAAGTAGAAGTTCAGGTTCTCTATTGTGGCTTGGAAGTCTTCGGTTTTAATTGTTATTTGTACCACTGAATAAAGATTTCCAAGGCTGAGATAGTGGGATTTTCCCACTTTAAATTCTTTCCACACAAGTCTGTTCTAAAAATTCCTCCAGATCCACTTATAAATTGAAAGACAAATTTTTCTTTAAACCAGGAGGACAGCCATGAATCTACTAAGGCAATATGATTGAGACTTGATTGTCACTTAGTAGAATGTAGTATTGACATTAGTGATGGTAAAAGAACTAGTCACATTTTTTCTTTTCTGGTCTATTTGTTTAATATGTTATGTGAGCTACTACAAGATTTTATGGATCAGCCAAATGAAGAGATACTTTGCCTTGTTATCTTTGGGGTCAATGACCCAATTAGTTATTACACATTCTTCCTATCTATCTATCTATCTATCTATCTATTGTTCAATACAACAAAATAAAGTGTTCATGAGTAGCTTCCCTTTACCTTCCTTAAATGAATTTGTCTTGCCTGATGATTTTATATTGCCTGCAAGAGCACAAACATTTTTTTAAAATGTCCATTAAATAAATTTTGGTATTGTTTGGTCACATGTTCCACAAAAAAGTGATCTATTTAAAACAGGAACAAAAAGAACAAAGACAGAAACTATATATTTTTTAATAGCAAACCAGTTCTCAAGAAACTTGCTTTCTATAAAATCGACAAACTGCATTATATACAACCATGGGTATTTTGATTGTTATCCTCTATACTGTGCTGATGTCAATCCCCAATCATGTGTATAGTTTTAGCTGATGTTGGAATCTAAATAATTGTGTGTGTGCTGCAACTGGAGTTAGACATAGGACACTATTTCTTCTCTTCACTAGGAATGTCTCATAAAATTTACAGATAATTTCTTATTAGTATAAAAGATCTTTATTACCTGAAAAAAAAAATCTCATTAATAATAATAAATATAATGTTCAACCAGTTTCTTATTGATTTGTGGAATCTGTTCACAAAATGTGTTCAATAAGCAAATCAATGTACAAATAACCAACATATATATGATTGGTATTTATTGTGAAATTTGTGTTCTTATTGTGATGTGGCCTACTTTACACAGGTCCAACCGTCCAGGAAAAAATGTTCGCCCCCCCAGCCTTTGGTTTATAGGGAGCTTTCCTTTCTCTCTCTCAATTTTCTAGACACAAAAGCAAAAGATGACAGGTTTATGTGTTCAACATTTTTTACATTTTACACATGATATCCCATAATTCCTTGGAGTTGATGAACATTGTTGCTGCAGTGTGTATGATGTGTATCACAAAGATTTGTTACTGATTGCTGTTAGTTTTCATAGAATTTTATGGACATTCACACATCAGAGGAGCTGGCAAGTTTGTCACGTCTCACCTTTCTTGAAAGATAGATGAAGGCTGTAAATACTCTATAAGTTGATCATGCCTTTTTTTTTTTCCTCTTTAATCAATTCACCCCAAACAAGGCAATAATATCACCAAGACACATAGAGGTACTGGAAGTGAAAGAGAAGGAAAAGACTTTAGAAAGAACCGGGAACCCAATAATAGCATAAATTTAAGAGTTTTTGCTTATTTTGAGAAAACAGACAAAGGGAAATAATCATTTGTCAGTTCTCGAGTTATTCTTTAAACACTAGAATTTGTCTGGCCTATCCCTTTTCTGCGGGGGTCATGTATTATCTCAAAAAATTAGACCTAAACTCAGAGCATATAAATCTCCTTAATGGACATAAACACTTTAAGTATCTCTCTCATTTGGAAATTAATAACTTTGACTTCTACTGTTGCAGGATGAAAGGGAAGATCATTTTTATTATCTGAATTATCTGTCCTGCAAAGATTTTACAGTTTCATGTGAGTCCAGGTAAATAAGGGTACAAGGAGTAATGACATAGACAGCAGAAGTTTGATAGAACAATTCAAAATTATACGATATGTATTCTAGACGTTTTGAGACTTTCAGGAGAGACATTTATTAATTTTAAAGAAGTACAAAACTCTAATCAAAGTTTAAACTAGGATCCTCTGACTTCAATGCACTTGTTGTAGCTCTCCATCCACTTCATGAAAGCCCTATGGAAGTCATCCAAAATGAAGGTGTCCAGAACACCTGTCATAGCCTCCTTCAATTTCTCCTCAATGTCTTCAAAATGACTGCCTCTGAGATTCTCATTCATTTGGGGAATAGCTAAAAGTCACAGGGTGCAAAGTACCAATTTTAAACTGTACGTTTATTGTCTTTATAGACACAAAACAGTCTTCATCCAAAAAATTTTCTCAATGAACTCTGATGATTTGACAATGCCCTCCCTCCTTGCCTTGAACATCTTGTGTCAGTGAAAATCAGATGCTTAACCCATACAAGTTAACCCATAAGCAGTCTGGAGCATTTCATAAGCTTCTGTAATGTTTTTGCCCAGTTTAACACAAAACCATAGTGAGCTTCCAAATTATCTTCATGTCCCAACTGCGTTCTGCAAACTCATCAGCTGTGACAAGCAGTGTTTAGTATGATGTGCTCATATAAGAGTTACAGCCATCTCCTTCAATCTGGAATAACAAAAGTTGGCTTATTAGATGTATAGTAATGATATACTAAATTTATAATAATCTAGGATTTATAATTGCCTCTCCTAAAAAAAAAAAAAGTCACAAAACTTCTGGAATGTACCTTGTATTGGATGATGAAAAGAAAGATTGAGTCATGGATTTGAAATAAATAATCATAAAATATATTGATGAAACCTGTTTACAGGATTCTACATGAAAAAAAAAGGGAACGTGATTGTTTGGTGTCTCTGAAGTGATATAGTGATACACATGCTCTTTTTGTGGAGATCATATTAGGAAAAACCCAATCTCTGTTTGATTCCTCGCTGTGCAAAACTTTTTATGAAAATCAAAATATCTGATCAAATTTTGAAATTTAAATTTATTTTCATAAAAATTTAGCACAGCGAGGAATCAGATGGGTTTTTGCTAATATTATGATCTCCACCAGAAAATACACTGTCCACAAAAACATCTGTCACTGAGTAATTCCCATTTCTCTGTTTATTTCTCACTCTGTTGTTGGAGGACACAGGTGTGTCTGAAAATTTGGACTTAAAATCTTTCCGTGCTGCATTTCTATCATATGGTTAATAATTAATATTTAATAAATGTTTTTCATACTGATTATATTGGTACACTTTTGTTTGGCCTTGTTTTATTAACCAAACTCTATTTTACATACTACAAGAAGCACACATGGATCCTTTCTTCTAATTATATATATATATATATATATATATATATATATATAATTTTTTCAAAATTGACAAATTTACTTACTGTGAATTAATACACCTGTATTTGAATTATTATTATTCTCCCGATATACAGTTTTGTGGTTCATATCCACTCTTCAAGAGTCCTTTTTATATTTGTTTTTTACTTGTGTTTTTTTGACTATGTTAGTGATGTATGCAGGCCAACATTTGCTCATGTGCCCATCAGTCCATTCATAAATGCAAGTTCTCCACAAGAGTATACTTCCCATATGCAATGATAACAGATATGTGTATATTCATGCGCTCACAAGTTCACTCATATTTTTCTGTTGTATATTTTTCAATTATTATGTATTATTTTTTGTATTTTCATAATTATTACTTTTCATTGTTATTTTATATATATATATATATACACACACACACACACACACACACACACACACACACACATGTATATCATATTTGAAATATAAATTATTATTTATGTTATTCAAATTTAATTTTAGTTAGATTATGATTCTAATATTTATATATATATATGTGTGTGTGTGTGAAAAGTATATAAATATAAATAAATATATATATATGTATAATTATTTATATATTATATGCTTGCGGTACTTATTAGAAAAAGCGCTCAATATCAGAGATAGAGCTAACATATTTGATAGATGTGAGTTTGTGACCCTGGGTTTCACGCTTTAGCGATCGTCAGACAATCGCTAAAGCGTGAAACCCAGGTCACAAACTCACATCTATCCAACCAAATATATATATATATATATATATATATATATATATATATATATATATATATAATAATGTGTTAAGCACTCCAGATCATGAATATCAAAGAAAAATTTTCTTTATTAAATTTTCATAATAGTTAATAGGGGTTCAGTTTGTTATGTAAATTCATCCCTACTACAAGAGTCAAAACAAAATATATTCATCCATGATTTCTTAAAATCTAAAAAAAATTTTTTTTGTAATCTGGAGTTCTTTTTTCATATACTACTATTAATTAAACATTTCAGATTATGAATTAAAAAAAAAAAATATTTTCAAAAAATTTTAAGAAATGATGTATAAGCATATTTATTTTGGCTTTTGTGGGGAGAAGAATTTATGTAGTAAATTGCCAGCCCTGTCAACTTTTGCAGGGTTTAATAAAAAAAATTTCTTTGGTATTTTTAATCTGGAAATCCCAAATAACAAAGAATTGTACTTAATCTTAAGTAATTTGAAAAAGAAAATGCTTATTTCTGATCACTGTGTCTATTGTCCAACCACACCATAAATTGAAATAGAATGTTGCTTCTTCAGCTTCATTGTTTCACTGCACACATGCAAAAAGTACATTTGTAAACAAATCTGTTTAACTGTATATTTATGAACAAATCTGTGTATGCTAGGGTTTGTAATGAAAAGTAACTTTAGATATATTTAATAAATGCTTTGTATGAATTCAATTTTCTTTTTCTTTCCAACTTACAGGAAGCAAGTGTCAAATGGAAGGAGGTGTCTCCTTATGTGAAACTAGTTGGAAATGAAGCTGTGATTGTACAAGAAGCTGCCAGAATTCATGATGCTTATAACTGATTGACTGGGACTATACATATACAAAAAAAAAAAATGGAGGATAGAAAACACATCATCATCATTGTCATCATCATCATAATTATCATTATAATCATCATCAACAGCAGCAGCATTTCTATTCCAATCATTTGTTCTTTTTGTTTCGAGCGTGAGCATGCATATCTTCTCACTACATTTAGACATATTCAAGAATTCTATGCTGCAATCAGCAGCCTGTTACCAATCTTTACTTGTCTATCACCGGTCATTTGTTTAACTCAGGAACAATGCTGTGCTATCATTTAGGGGTGGAGGCCTCTTAAATCCCCTCCTCTCGACTTTCCTTATTTGGGAACTTTCATTTAACTGTCCCTACTCTTCCAAAAATGAAGAAGTAGACTTACTAAAAGAAATTTTTTTTTTTTTTTTTTTAAAGAATCAACCGTATGTGACAGAAAGCACCAATCTTTGCATTATTGTTGGATTTTTTTTTTTTTTAATATCTTGTTCGGAAAATAGTGTTTTTTTTTTTTTTTTTTTTTTTTTTAAATTTCTGATTAGTGCTTTTTATTAGCTTCCATCTTTTCTGTTACAAGATATACAACTACGTGAGTTACTTCCCTTAAACTATTTCGGCCAGAATTTAAATGTGATATGAATTTTCTTTTGGGTGTGATTGCTTAATTTCACCGTCTCTCATTGCATGTATTGACATACATAAGAGATCTTATTTATGTCTCTACACATACATATTGGATGAATATCTGAGGTCATTAAATATTCGTACTTTGTTAAATTAATTTGATTTATTTATACATTTATTATTATTATTATTATTATTATATTTTAAGTGTATTGATGAGTTAAAATCAAATATGGATTAAAATCAGACAGAATGCTAGAATAAGAAACCAATAGGAAACGTTTATAAATTTATCATGTTTTGATTTTATTTAAGCGTCATCAAAAAACTTTTGGAAATGAGTGATGGAAGAGAAATAAAAGAGGAATAAAAGACCATGTAACCTAAGTACGGAAACTTTCTCTTCACTAACTCCTTTCCAGAAATTTCTGGTGGACATTAAATAAAAGTGAAACAAGTTAAATTTATAACCGTTTCCTATTTGTTCCTTATTCTCACATTAATTTTATTATTTAATAATATATATATATGTTAATTTTCGAACTTAGGTATGCATATAATACCTTACTTGTATATATGCATATAACTTCTATGCATTTATGAATATTATAGGCAAATTAATTTATTTAAAATTATATATATAAAAACTTAGTTTTCTCTTGAACAGTTTAGCCATTTTTTTAGAGAATTGAAGAAGTGTAGTTGATATTCTTTTCTACTTGAAGAATGAAATGTGTTAGGTTCCATACACTTTATTCAATTGAAGTTATAAAAGAATCTTACTAAATTAGTCGGGCAATTGTGTGTATCTGGAACTTGAACTTGAATAATTTTGTTTTGGCATGTTGAATAGAAAAAAAAGAGAAATTGAATAAACATAAAGAAAACATTTTTTTAACCGTTATTTTCTAAAAAAAAAAAAAAATCAGTGATCAATACTTTGGTTAGGATCCCCATGTAGAATCTGTCTTCGAGCAGACAAACTACATTTTATCTCAATTCTATTTCTGTCTGTGAACAGAAAAACAACTAATAAATAGATGCCAGAGCCCAGGGATTCCAACCCTGCAGCAGTACCTCCCACATTGCAACAAAGAGTGAGTGGATCGGTGTAATATTGATGCCAGTGTGACGCTGGTTGTGAGGACTGAACAAGGGTTGACCTTGCATGCTCTTGAACTTCCCACCTTAAACTGGCCTTATGTCATATGCTCTCACTGTGGGGTGGACAAATAAATACAAAGTGTAGTATCTGTTTTTTTTTTCTTTTTTTTTTAAAATTCATTTAGTTGTATAGCAATATCCAAAACTTGATTTTAAAACTTTGAAACATAAAAAAAAAAATCTCTCCTACTTTTTATTATTAGTTAAAATAATTTGATTAAAAGAAAAAAAAACAGAAACTTGTACTTATTACTCAAATATGAAAATTCACTTTACATACATACACATATATATATATAATGTAAATCTATTTAAACTTGGTGGGTGAAAAAACCTGGATAGCACAATTTTCAAATTAACCCCAGTAAATGTAACTGTAGAAATAAAGACACCTGCCCACTCAAGTGCAAGTGTCCACAAAAGAATAACGAGAATAATAAAATGTACCTAAGATCTACTGAAGGCAATTTTAAAGTGTGCTACTATAATCATATAAGTATGTTCAAGAATGAGAAGTATAACCATTATCTAAATACATTTGGTGTATTAAACAAGAAGATAGATCAGATCCCATTCTAAAATGAAAAATACTAAAAAAAAGTAAGTATAAAGCCAGCAACAGGTACTGTACATTATTATGGAGGAGAAGTTAGCAATAGCTACTTTCAACAAACCAAAAATTTTATTAAACCAGAGGTCAGACATCCTTAATAGATGCAAGCATAAGAAAGCCTGGTTATTAGAATAAATGTTTTTTTTTTTTGTAGTCACGTGTTTTATTTCTTTTCAGGCTTATGCTAATTTTAGGTTTTAGCTGTAATTTTATCAATAAATTTGTTCCTCATTAATTCCTCCTTAGCCACTTCACCCTGGTGTTTCCATGTTGTGAACCCTAGGTAGATAGTACCTAGCTCATTAGGATTTATTATATATATATATATATATATATATATATATAAAATTTTGGATGAATGTCTATGTTGATATACCTTTCTGTAGATATATTTACAGATTAATAAACACAGGCTTGAGGGTAAAGAACAAAAATATTTCACACATTCCACAAAGTTATTTTTTATTGTTTTTAACATGTGTCTATTTCATTAAACTTTTACCATTTCTTTCATGCTCAGCAGTAAAAAAAAAAAAAACCAAAAAAATCAGAATATTCCCTTTTTGTGTTTATATCAGTATATATATTTGTTGCTTAGTGGGTAATATACGAGGACTGTATTTATGTATTTAGAGATAAACCTGTTAGAATCACTTTAGTTGCTTTTAACAGACATTATCAAATGCTAGAATTTTTTTATTCTGCAACAGTTTGTTTTAAAATGTGCATGTTACTACCTTGAACTCATCATTAGTGCATAAAAGAGGAATGTATATTTTGAGTCTGGTCAGTACCTACATAGGTTACCACTTGGGAATATTATGTGCTGTAAGCTTGGATGTGCAGGTGGTGTAATGGATTTTGAATTGTTAATCAGAGAGCCAAGTTACAATTCCACACATGTTCATTATATTCACTTATATACAAATACCATTTGGAAAGGTATGAATCCACCTCTTCTCCCCTAAGCTATGGGTTAATTAATAAGATTTGTATCACTGAATTGTTATTATCTACAAAAACTTCTTATAATCTAAAAATATTTTCTGCAAAGTCATAGAAAACAAATTGATCATAAACTAATGTATTTTACAGCTATCTGTTAGAGCTCATTACACTTTATCCAGGCTAGATCAATTACAACTGAGTTTGAACCACATTGGGTGCTCCATACTTGCAGCCTTGTAAATCACTAATTTCTTCTCAGCCTTTTGACTGAGATCAAAGCATAGTATCTGTTCTCTCCTCATTTGAGACAGGAGAAGGCATCCGTTCCCTGGGCTTCCAAACCTTACTCATTGCATTAACAGAGGTGGGGTCAGAGTAATATCAACACTAGTGAGACTGTGGTCAAGGGGAATCTTTGCTCTTGACCCATATGCATGCATTTGGGTATCTGTACATAAAAATGACCTTGTGTCACATCCTGCCATTGTGGGGAGGTCAGGAAAATAACTTCTTCAGTCTTTTTTTTTAGAGTAAAGTCTTGGGGGGGAGTCACTTAAAGTAAAGGGTTATATTAAGAAGCAGTTTATGCAGATAGAAAAGGAGGATAATAGTTAACCTCTACACTTGAACAGATTAAGAGTGTAGTGATCAGGAAAACATCCTCTTAGGAGTTGGTTCTACATGCAGTTGCTCGTTGGAAGAATCTGTTTAAGTAGAACTTCTCACCAATGGAATACGGGGGGAATGGGTCCTAGCCATGTAGCTTAGAACTGCTGGAACCAAGAAATGCAGTTCGTCCAAGAACTTTTCAGTAATGATAGAGCAGTGAAAGGCTTGCCACATCTTGTCTGTGAGAGAGAGGTTGGAGGGTGGAAAATAATTTGTCACCCACAAGAACTATGGGATTGCTTTTGAACTCTCTTGAGACTGGAAAGTGAGGATTGAGCAGCTCTTGCCCATATATGGACAGCAGTACTCCATTTCAAGCCTGGGATCAAAGTGTAGTATCTGTTCTCCTCCTTAATCGATAGGGAAGATACTTGGTCCTGGGGATTCTAACCCTGCAGTGACTGCTTCCTCATTGAACTAAAGGAGGTAGGGTTGGTGGAACATTGACACCAGTGTAACAGTTGTAGTGGGAACATTTTTGTCTTTGTCCAATATGTATGCTTATGTGCACCCTACATTTAAAACAACAATGTGTCAAATGCTGTCCTTGTAGGGAGGAGAGTGAATACCTTATTCAGCTTTCAAGCTGGGGTCACTGTGTACTGTTTGTTCTCTCTTCCTTTTAAAGTTCTGAAGGAAGCCTATTCCTTGGAATTCTAACTCTGCAAGAGGATAGGCACTGAATTAAACTGACCTTGTGTCACACCTGCTACCATGGGGAGGTGAGTAAATGCCAGATCAATTTGTAGTATCTGTTCTTTCTTCAACTCTGTCATGTTTCTATTTTTAGGCAGTTTACAGTTCTGAAGTGAGATGTACCTGGTCCTGAGAATTCAAACCATTCAGTAGTATCTTCTTCATTACACTAAAGAGGAATAGTTGGTGGATACTGATGCCAGCATAACTGTGGTGGTTTTTGTCCTTTTGGGGAGTAATTTTTTTGCTTACAGAATCACTTTGGAAATTGGCTAATTTTAACCCTAG